ACTAATATAGCGATATTTTTTAGATAAAAATATCGCTAATATAATGACGTTTTTTAGATATGAATACCGCTAATATAGCAACATTTTTCAGATATAAATACCACTAATATAACGACGTTTTATAGAAAACGTCGTTATTTTTCATGATGCGTGTATAGCCAATATTTTGATTGATGTTTTTCGTAAACGTCGTAAATTTTTTAGTAGTGTTTATAATAAATGTCACTAAACGTAAAAAAAAAATACCACTAAAAGTCAAAATCTGTCAGAAACAAAAATCAAATAAATATTATAAATTATTTGAGTTGAGATATAGAGGTTTTGAAAATTGGTCAAAATTCCTTAATGGAAACCCACTACCAAATTGAAATATGGTATTTAATTTTTTTTCTTCGATTAATATTCTAGCCGCGATCAATTTTCCTCACATTTTATTACGGATAATGAGGGAAAATTAATTATAAAATATATTTTACCTTGTTTTTTCATTATTTAAATTTTCCTTCATATTTGCCTCTTAATAAAAAGTAGACAGAGGTGGATGCACTTTTAATGTTACTATGAATGAAATTTCGAAAGGACATTTCAATTAAATATTTCCATTTTTTTTATGAACACCCCAAAATTTGAAAAATAAAGAAATTTACGAAAAAATTCATTAAACATACTAAATTTTTCTCATTAATTTTCTTTCCGTTAACAAAATTGATAAATTTTGTCAATAAAATTTATAAATTTGTTTATATATATTATAAGTAAATATTTTCAAAAAATTTTATTTAATCCGCCATTAAACATAGAGGGATAAAATTCAAGCATTTTGTTTTCATTTCTTATTGTTTTCTCTACTATTAAACTGGGCCTAATTAGATTTTACTTTTTTATATGTTTGATATTAGATTACATAACAAGAAATAATCTTATCTCTTCTCATAAATCAACGTTTTGTTTTATTTTAGAATTCGAATTTATGATTTTCAAGATAAAATTCTAATTGTCAACGTGTTCCTCTAAAAATAAATACTAGCTAGATATACATAAGAAATTGAAACTTATTATGTTCGGTTTGGTTTGGTTTGGTTTGACATGGTGATGTATCAACCGCAATTCATATATATAAATTTGTTCTATGAAATGCATTGCGGCGCAAATCAATCATGGTGACGTGTTTGCCATTAAGCCTATTTATTTTTGTTATTTAAAAGCTTCAAAACTTCTTTATTATTGAGGTAAGGTGTCATTAACAGCTATTTTTTTCAAATTAAATCATTTGAGTGTTTTTGACTCTCATATAGGTAAAAAAATTTAATTTTAATGTATTTAATATTTAAATTTCAAATTTATAATATGTACTTTTGAATATGTTAATTAATTTTATTTTATAAGATTGAATTTAAAAATACTCTTTCCCTACAACTACAATTTATACTTGATTAGTTTCATTTAATTGTTTAATTTAAAAGTCATGAAACTCATATGTTTTTTATTTTTGTTTAGAATGGAATATTCATAGATTAAATTTAACCCAATGGATAAAGGAATAAATAGGGTCGGCAATCTAATCTGTCCCTGACGGGTTCCGACTCGACCAGACCTTGTGAGATTTTTTTTTTTTTTAAATTTAAATTTCAGGTCAGGTAAGGTTAGGAAACAATCAAGTCGAGTCGGGTTCAGATTTTAGGCAAACTCAACTCGACTCGATATTATTAAAAAATTATTTTTAATTAATTATTTAATTTTTTTATTTATATATTTATATAATAATATTTTAAATATTTATATTTAAAAAATAATATTTTATTAATTTCAGATCGGATCGGTACGATTTATATAATATCGGGTCAGGATTGGATTCGGGTATAAAAAAACAAAAAAAATTTGATAGGATCAGATTTGAGTTTAGTAACACATAAAGTCAAGTCAGGTTTGAAGATGCCAACTCTAAGAATGAAGCCCATTTTAAAGGTTAAATAAAACCCTTTTTTTTTTTTTAGCTTACAAAATTAACTTCCTAATGTTAAACCTTTAAATTAATGTTCTAGTTAAGAATTTCTCTTATTTTCTATTCACTTATCTTTTCTTTTCTTTTTTTTCTTTATATTTTACATTTTGTCTTATAGAGGTTGGTTGGCATTTGAGAATTTCTTTGTTACACTTTGTTTTCTTAAGGTATTCTTCATAAGTTTAGGATAAGAGGAGAGCTCATTAAAAGCCAAAATTAAATGGGCTGAAAAAACAGTAGCAATTTTGTGGTTGATTTAATTAAATTGTTCACTTATATTTCAAGAAAAATTCAATGTTGAAAAGCCTGTAGAAAGAAAACAATGCCACTTCTTTGTCAGTTTCTAATTGGGTGTTTAACTAGTTTAATTTTTCTTAAGTCACTCAAGGCTAGCTATTATGTAGGAAGTGATTAGGTTTTGACTAAGAGCAATGAATATTAAGAAAGGATAAGGTTTCAATCATAGCACTTCCAAGCAAGGTAGTTTGATTGCAATTGTCAAGCTTTTTCTTGCTCTACGATCATCAATATTTTAACACCTATATTTCAAAAAAAAAAATTAAGAAGTACAAGAAAATTAATTTCTTAATTAATTATTATCAATTAGAAAGCAATGATTTTTTTAAATATTTTTAATTTACTCTTAATTCTCTAATCTCTATATATTTAATTCAATTGAATAGGACATCACACACTCGAATTCTTTCAAATCCGTAATTTTCAAAATTTTATCTAATATATATTCTATATGAATTAATACTCGTTTGACAAAAAAAAATCAATGATGTTTAAATACTTGATCAGTTTATCTTATTTGAATATGATGGTTCAAGAGAAAACATAACTCTTATAAAGGAAAAAGGAAATAAAAGACTTTGATTTGAAATCAGAATCTTTATATCTTTATCAAAGTTCTGTAACCACTAAATCAAGAGATGAAGGATGACCCTATTGATATTTTGATGCAAGTGCATTGAAAAAAATATATGATTTTTATTCAACTAATTAAGATCAATTAGTATGGTTCAATGTAGAGAAAGATAACAAATAAGCTCTCCCTTTCATTTTGAAGATCTAAAGATTTATATGCTAACAAAATTTTTCTTGGTTAACATCTCATTTCTCTTTCATTAATAAATAAATATATTTATATATCCCATTTCTCTATCATTAAATTATAATGTGATTTTCTTGTAATTAACATATGAAATTTTATATGATAGGTGAACATAGAATATTGATTAGCTTTCTCATAAGCTACAATATGAATGGTAGGTAAATTCACCTAAAAAGTAAAAATGTGGAAAAAAAAAAAAAAAAAAAAGAATGGTAGGTATGTCATCAGTGGTCAATTTCCAGCTAAAACCACACATAAGTATGCAAAGAGTGCCCAATTGTTTTTTATTATCTAAAGATAAAAAGAAAGATTCTCTTTAATCTACATATTTTAAGTCATATCATATAGTACATATTTGTGAATTTTATATTGTTTATTGGTGAAAATACAAATATTTATATATAACAAAAGAAATTAGATACATAATATAATATATATATATATATATGTAATAAAAATTTGAGATAGATTAATTATTCAGTCATTTAAGTCAAGATAAAATATATCGTACCTGATAATCTAAGATAAGTGACTGTAAATCGTGTATTCAAAATAACCCTAATAAGTAATTATTGATAAAATTCAAATCAAAAATTTTTTCATTGAAAAAGATAACTTTAATCGATTAAATCAATCATTTGTTAATTTATATATATATATATATATGCAGACTAGTTAACACAAGACAAAATCTTTATTTTTTTATATTTGAGTTTGTTGAATATTAAAATTTGACCATTAAAATTAAAATTTTAATACTTAACCTGATAAAACAATTATTAATATAATCTTGATTTTTTTTTTACCAACCCAAATTTGCTACCACACAAAAAAATGAAAATATGAAACTTTGGGCTCAAATATCACCTTTTGAGGGGGAAAAACACAAATTACAGACTTTATGTTGTCTTCAATTTTTTTTTTTTAATTATTATTTTTCCGAATGTCTTCAATAAGTGGAATTTTAATTTTAACCACAGAAAAAAAAAAAAGAGAAATTAAGACCAAGGAAACAAATCCATATGTATGCCAAAAAAAAAAAAAAAAAACTGTAACAAAGTGGAAACAGCTGAGCAAATGTTATATTCATATTTGATCTCATTTAATTAGCTTTTCATCAAATAATCATATTTTAATGTCAGTGGGTAAAAAGATTCTGCTCAAAATTTCCAACAATGTCTTTTAAAAGTTATACATGTCTCCAGCAGCAATGTTGCAGGATTCTAAAGATTATGCATCCCAACCGTCCGAATGAAAAGGAATAATTGATCCCATATACATTCTTGCGTAACTGTTTGACTTATGTTTCCTTTATGATTAGATATATTTTCAGATTTTACGTAAAAAAATCTCACGAATGAATTTTAAGAGTGTACGTAGTAACGGATTTAAAATTTTAATAATTATTATTTATAAATTTAATAAAATATAAAAAATATTTTTATATTTTTATATTGATATAAATTATAATATATAATTTTTTTATAAAATATGATATAAATTAATAAATTTTAATATTTTATATGATATCAATAGATAAATCATCAAACTTACTTAAACTATTGGCGTCGGCTACGAAAGAAAGCCTGAAGCCTTTGTTTTCTTCCCAATTTATCAAAGTCATAAATTTGACGTTCAAACGAATAGTGTTTGAGTATGTATATAGAACTCATGGTTTGAAGGTTACACCGAACCCTGCCAAAAGGCCCAGAGAGCCAACTTTTGGTCTCCTTTGCAATAGCAAAGAAATATGAAAAGCAACTAAGATTATTAAAAAAATATAAATCAATAGACAAGTTGCAACAATCATGTTGATTACAAGCTATATATATTTTCCAGGTAGAATATTATTTTCCATCTTGCTTCAGAATCCAACAAAATCAGAATCATATACGTATGGAAACTAGTTTTACTGGTGAGAAAATTATTGAATAAATTAAGCATCCATTCCCATAACTTAATCAGAAAGCAGGAAAGTCCCCAAACAGCAAAACATACTATTCAATCAATATCATGAAATTATAAATTCACCTGTCGTGCAGGGAATTCCGACCAAATTGTTTTGATCAGATCAGACTCTTCTGGTCCAGTTATTCTCAAACTTCATATACAGACACCATTTCTTCAGCTTTTTCATTACCCTCCAACTTTTCACGCTAGCTCCCAAGTTAAACCATGGAATCTACTGATAAACCTATAGCTTTACCACCAAAGGCTGAAGCTGCTCCACCAGCAGCAGCTGCTAAGTGCCCTTTCAACTATTCTGTTGTTGATGTTGCTCTTAGGGTCTTGTTGTTTGCTGCCAGTCTAAGTTCTGTGGTGGTCATGGTTACTAGCAAGCAAACTAAACTGGTTCCTATGCCAGGATTCCCTACAGGTCCTAGGGTGACAATTCCAGCCAAGTTCAATCATTCACCTGCCTTAATGTAAGTAAACTTCCTCCAAATATTATGGTTTTAGTCGTGCATAATTCTTATAGTTTGCATGTTCTGCATAAGAGGCTTATTTTCTTGTGCAAGGCTTGAATTCTTAGCATGAAGTAATTAAAACGAGCTAAATCATCATATTTGTGGGATGAACAACATGATTGATCTGGTGCTAGTTTTTGCTGTTGTTTTGCTGGTTTATCCCAGCTCCAACTGCATGATTGAAGAGAAAGAATTGATAGTAATTCTTCTCTTGCTGGTTCATCCCATCTGAACAACCTTCTTCTTTCCTCCTCTCTTTTGAGGAGGGTAAATTCTTTGCAAAATCAGCTTTTTTTCCATCAAAATGTAAGATAACCAAGATTTTTCAAACAAATGACAACAAAGTGTCAAAAGCAAGGTTAAACAATGGCAGGCAGGCTAGCTAAAAACCAAAATATTCCTATTACACATCATGTTGCCTGACAATCAAGTAATTGGAATTTTCTAGTTGAAATTTCAAATGGTTTAGACAAAGACAAAAATCTTAAGAGGATTGGATTCTTCTGTCTCATCACTAGCATCTCATGGTAACATGTGACTGGTTGTTTAATCAGGCCGGAGAAGTCACGGCTACCGGTCAGCGTACTCATGACCGCGAGGGCTGCGGAAGAAAAATAAATAAATAAAGGTTAAACTTGACGTGGCTAAGTAGATAATATGGGATAGCACAACTACAATTATTGCTTCCTTTAAGTGCGAAATCATGATTTCTCAAAATGCGACAAATTTTCTGTCACTTTTCTTGTGTGAAGTGGGCAACAAATTTTCTTTATAAATTACAGATAAAAGATTTTTTTTTCTTTTAAAAGATAAAGTTAGATAAACCAATCAATACCAAGAATTTTTTAAAATTTTCTAACTTACCCTTAATTCTTTAAATTTTATTTAATTAATTCACTTAAAAATAATGTCACACACTTAAATTTTCTTAAACACAGCTTTAAAAAATCTAACCAATATACGTATCATTAGAATTAATATTCACCCGTCAATACCGGATCATTCTATTTAATTATATTTGTTTAGATTATTAACAATACTTATTGTGGGATGATATACATGTACTTAATATCGATTAGATACTTATAGGAGCACGTCGAAAATTCTGAATGCATAATTCAAGGAGGGGATTAAATTCAGACAAAGTCTAAAGATCAGAGTTTGTAGCAAATTAATCTCAAAGTATTTTGAAAGTTTTCTAATAGAATGAAACCATCAACCTCTATGGAAGTCTAGTTTTTTAATGCACTAACTGCTAAATCATATCATTGTGCAGATACTTTATAGCAGCATTATCCGTGACAGGCCTATACAGCATCATCACAACTCTGGCATCAATTTCAATCATCCAGAAGCCTGCATATTCCAAAAGTTTCTTGCTTGTCTTTGCATTCTTGGATGTGGTAAGCTTCCCGCATAGGTGAAACCAAAAGCTTCTTTGTTTATCAAGCATGAAACAATAAGAATTCGCTAGCGGATCTAATTTTTTTTTTAGTGTCCATTTATATTATATAAAAAAATCAGATTTTATTATTTTTATTGACGAAAAAGATATTCAAAAAAAAATTTTCTTATTTTCTAATTTTTTGAGGTACCCTTTGCTTCAAAGGATAGATCCGTCGGGTACTATCAAATTTATTTCGACTGACAATTATATGATGCAGGTGTTTGTAGGGATTGTTGCCTCAGCGACGGGTGCAGCGGGGGATGTTGGTTACATCGGTTTAAAGGGTAACAGTCACGTTGGCTGGACCAAAATATGCGGTGTTTACGATAAGTTCTGTCGACACATAGGAAGCTCGGTTGCACTCTCGTTGTTTGCAGCCATCCTGCTGGTGTTCCTCTCCATGATGTCAACCTTCACCCTTTACAAAAGGATCCGTGACTAGACAGACTCATGTCCAAATTTGGGAAACAACATTTGAGAGTGTTTAATTTGTGTGTGTTTCATCTTGAACTTGGTGGTATATTGTCAGCTGTAAATGATGTCTAGTTATATTTGTAACTATTATCTTTATGTTGTTAATCTGTTTTCAATTTGTTTGTATGTTCTCATTGGTGTTACATGTAGTAATTGAATTGAATGACATTTAAATATTCTTATAATTGATATTAATGCAGTGGGATAGTGCTATTTGAGTATTATGCAATTACATTACTTGCAATGATTTAAATTCGGGATTTAGTTTAGTTGGTTTATATAATCACTTTTAAAATATAATATCTAACAAGTCTAAAATTTAAATTTTAGCACTTACACTTACTTCTTTTATCTCTAAGTTAAGACTTCTTTTGTATAAAAAAATGGTTTTCTTATGAGACTGGTGACTATAAGAGAGGAGGGTCAACACCATTCCTTGATCAAGCCGTTCCAGACCAAGTTTAAAACCTGAGAGAAGTGATGAAATTGGAATGAAAAATCATAAGCAAACCCGGATTGAAACAACTGCTGCAAATGGCTTTGGAAATGGTCCAAATACCAGCCTAGCCCAAGCGGCCAAGCCTATTGTCATCATATGCTGACTGCTGCTCGAGCCTAGGTAAACCTTTTGCAGGAACCAAAACCCAAAAGAGACTGCCACGAATCCGGGAAGAAACTTACTTCATCGTTTGATCAAGTATGAAATACAAATATAGCTGCATGATTTAGATCGTGTACGAAGGAAATTTCAGTTTTACCGAGATTTATGACAGTAGCTGCTACTATGTGTTCTGCCAATTGGACACAGAACTGAATCAGGTTTAATGGTTTTGTCTACTTATTAAGATCAATATATTTTATTCCAGAGCCTTTTAAAGTAAAAAATTATGTATTTTACATCATACAGAGATGAGTGGCTTTAAGAATCTAGTAGCCCAAGTAAACAAACTGGTTCTAAATGCACTTGAGCAGATGCAGAAGAAAACAATGCGAAATCGTTCTCCCTTATTATCACAAAACTAAACGAGAAGCTGTAAATATTTAGGATTCCTCAAATTCAGTGGATTTTGATTGTTTTTAATCATAAATCTTAAGAATTCCTATGAAATTTGGAAATTAAAAAATGTTGAATACAAGCCAAGTCTAAGATAATACGGACGGAACTAATGGATCATGCTGCAAACTACCAAGCACAATGAGGACAACAGAAACAATTCTTCGTACCACATAGGTAGTTGTCAAGGTAAAATCTTTACAAGAGAATGTAGATTGCTACTCATACAGCAGTTTTTTATGGCTTTCAAACTAGGAAACTGCACACCTCAAATCAGGCCGTATGACAAAACTGGTTTACTCAATGGATTGCCAAAATTTACAAACTAATATAAGACAATAGCTTTTAGAAGATGGACTGTTCTCCGAATTCCTGGCCAGCCATGCCCTCCCTTAGCACTCTTGCAAAGAATTCTTCCAATGTGTCCTTACCATAACTTTGGTGTTTTCTCAGCACTATACTCTCCAGTCTCAGGATCCAAAATCAGCCTACTCTCAGCAGCATAATACCTTCCAATTTTCCCAAACTCAGCTGCATCTTCCATTCTAGGGAATATCTTAACTAGGAAATCAAGCATCCCAATGGCAAAATCCATTACCTCAATGGGAACTTTCAAGAACTTTGGTTCTTTCCCCAGAAGTTTAAACAAAATCTCTCCTTGCTCTAATGGTGTCAAAGCCTTCCCTGGACCACCAATAGGCAGTACCAGGTTAATCTTATCCTCACTCAAAATGCAATCTGCAATAAACGAAGCCAAATCCTGTTCACTAATCGGCTTACAAGCACATAACCTGCCATCACCAAACATCACATAAGGCTTTCCATCTTTCACTAACTCAACTTGACCCCCCAAGCTCTTGAAGAATGCAGTTGGCCTTACAATGCTATAGGTAAATCCATCATCCTCTTCAGCTTCTTTCATCAATTCAGCCTCGAATTTCAGTTTCGTTCGCTGAAATTCAAGGAGGGGTTTTTGCACACAGATAGCAGAAAGCAATACAAAATGTGAAGCCCCAAATTTCTTACCAGCAACGAGACTATTTTTTGTTGCCTCATAATCAATTTTCCATGAATCCTTAACACCACCAGTACGGCTAGCAAGACAAGACACAACTACATCAATAGGAAATCCTAAATTTTGTAAAGACTTCTCCAAAGTATCTAAATTTGTCACATCAGAGAAACATACACTAGCTCCTTGTAAATCATTCAAAGTATCTTCCTTGCTATTTTTACCTCTAATCCCACTCCTCTCTAACAATAGCTATAACATTAAACCCTCTATTAACCAACTCTTTCACCACAATTTCCCAATATACCCAGTTGAACCAACTACCAAAACATTGAACCAACTACCAAAACATTAATGTCTTTTGAGTTTTTGCTTCTAAATGAAGCTGAAACAGCTGTTTCAACAGGCTTTGTAGCTAAAGCTTTAACAACTTTAAATCTTTCTCTACTAAACTTAAAGGGTGTTGATGGTGAAGCAAAAGGAGCTGACTTTACCTGGATTTGTTTGATGAATTGAGAAGTGTATTGCGTTTTATAACTTTGAGATGTAGGTGACTGAAGAGTGAATGCATTGAAATAGAAACAAAGTGACATCGTTTCTCCCTTCTTCTTCTATAGCTCAAAGGAAGTGAAATTTGGGGAAACTTGGCTTTGTCACACAGAAGATAAAAAGAAGGAAAGGAAAGTGAAGGAAAATGTGAGGTGAATGATGAGCTAGATTAGGCTTTTTCATGGTCAGCAGAGTTGCTCCATCGTAAGAGAAGCTAAAAATCTAATGAAGATAGGCGGTGGATAACATAGGTTGCAAAGCTGATAGCCCAGCTGGAAGAAATAATCGAATTGCTCATTTTTTTCCCATGAATATTGATAAATTTTAATTTCATCCCCTGAACTTTTCAATATTTCATTGCTCTCCCTTGGTTAGTTAGATTTCAATATTTTGGGTTCTCTCAACAGTTACTCTGAGCAGAGACCTCAGGAGAGGCCGGAGGTGAGGAAATTCTTGGCCCAACACAACCCATTGGGCCAAAGGACAAGTCTTGTACTTAAAACGACGCTGTTTTTAACTTTAATCACAACCTTCCACGTGGAAACTGAGACCAAGATCTCAAAAGCTGACAGCTGACAAGCAGCTGATCATCTGACTTCCCAGTTTTCAGACAAATCTAAAAAATCCACTTCGGAAGGAAAAAATAAATGATTTCATCATCATATCTTCCAAAAAATCAGTGGCCAACCAAAAACCATGGAGCAATCAGATTATTCATACAGCTCACTCCCTAACGATGTGGCTCTCAAAATTGCTTCTTCCCTTGAGGTTGTCTTGCTCTCATTTCATTGTTTCTTTTTTTTTTCCCATAAAGTTTCTGTTTTAATTTTTTTTTTTTCCTTCTTTCTGGGTATTGTATGAGATTTTGGTTTCTGGGTCTTTGGATTTTAGGTGCCGGATCTTTCCTCGTTGGGCTCTTGCTCTCGGTTTTGGCGAGAGTTATGTGGGTCGGATTGTTTATGGGAGTCACTTGTCAAAGAAAGATGGCCTTTTTTATATGCAGCTGTCTTGAAAGACCCCATCAAGGTTGTAATTTTACTCTTTTTTTGTTTTTGTTAAGTTTTTATGATTAATTTCTGTAATATATGTTGATTGAGATTTGGAATTGCTGGTTAAAGCTAGATTTTTTTGTTTCTCATATCAGTTGGTTTGGACTAATTGCTTTTGTTTCATTGCTTTGAAGTGGGATTCTCTTTTCTCTTTGTAATGTCATTCAAGTTAAGTTGTAAGTTTTCAAGGGGTTGCTAATCAGGCAATTCAATTCTTTGTTTTGGTTTGAAATTTTGAAAAATGATGGTAGAGCTGGAGGGGATTTTACATAAAGCGGCACGAGGAGAAGAGGGGTCAGGCTGTATCTGTTATTAAATTTGTGGAACGATGTTCCGAATCTGAGTCACTCGAGGTTAATGACTATCTGAAAGCAATCGTATGCCTCGAAACAATGCAGTTTGGATTTAAAGATGTTCAAATGTTACTGTTCAAACCAAAGCTGAATGTTTTGCTTAACCTGGTTGGACTACACTACTGCCTTAACTTTCTTCAAGTGCCGGTAACTTTTCCTTTTTGCATTCCTCTTCTGTTTGTTTTGTTTAGATTTTTAAAATCGTGTTTTTGCTGTCTCTTTTAAATGTTAAAACTTAGGAAATAATGTTCTAGGAAAATCTTTGGTTTAAGTTACACTACTCCAAAGGCTAAATTGAAAACGATCAGCCTGGCCGAAAGAGGGAGAGGAGTAGGAATAGACAGGAACTTAATTATTAATGGATAGTATCAGTATCAGTTGTTCCACCTGCTATAGAAATTGTGTTTCTGTGGAGAGTGGTTGTAGTAAGCTCTGAAGAATTCAACTCTAGTAATTAGTGGATAGGAAACTTGTTTTATTTGGTGATGACAACACAAGATTAAATGATTATATGTAAGTAGGCATGCATTCAAAAGCTATACTGGTCTGCCACCTTTTAGATAATGATCTTCTCTATAGATTTTAAAACCATATTTTTTTATATGTTTTGTAATCAATGTCTTCAGCCCTGGATAACACACTCCTGCTTTTGGGATAATGGGCCTTCTGTCCGCCTTGGGTGAGTAGGGGACAAAAAATGAATACCTTGATTGGGAATTCCACCATTGTCCATTCCAGGTCAATTGACACACACTTGAGCATGCTTCTGCAAGCCTTTGTTATGCTACACGCTTGTTAAAACTTAAAATACTTTGTGAACCAACCACTGTGTAGTGTCCTGATAAAATTATGCATCATCATCATAATGGGCAGGCTTCGCATGTCGTGGAATCACTTCAGAGTAGCAAGATTTCTGATCGTCAGGTTTGTGTCAAATGGTGGAAGCTTGGCAGATGGTTCTATGGCTTCCGCATGCGAGATGAATCTCATTCTCGTTGCGTCTCCCTGGAAGATCTTTTGACAGCAAAAGACCAGGAGGTGCTGGGGGTACTCGACCGAGGAGCCATTCATGACGTTTTACGAGTTCAGATATCCTTTCCTAATTAAACAAACAATCTCTGGTCTAGTCAAAGCCCACACTGACTGGGTTAGATAATTGGACAACGATGAGCAGTTGTTAATAGTGTTCATGTCATCATTGTATAATTTATAGTAGGTATGTAAGTTGATGTGTGTGTGTAGATCTACTGCATGCTACTAGTATTTAATATATTTGTTGTGTGATCTTTGTTAGTTGTACCAATGGGGAATTCAGTAGCATAAACTGAATAAAAAACTTGAGATTCTGATCTGTTTCTTCCATGGTTTCATCCTTCCAAAATTTGTTCTCAAGGAAACATAGGATCAAATGATTTGAGTTAATTTAAATATTTAATTGTCTCAATTTACAAGCGGAGATGGATGAACCATTTCCATCATGATTGAGAGAAGAAACTTCCGTCAAGACCAGTGGAAAAAGCTAATGGAAACATGGAAAACTTTAATGGCACGTGTAACAAGCCCTTCTAGTTGCTTGACACTGTCAAAGTAGCAGAGATGGATGAACCATTTCCATCATGATTGAGAGAAGAAACTTCCGTCAAGACCAGTGGAAAAAGCTAATGGAAACATGGAAAACTCTAAGGGCACTTGTAACAAGCCCTTCTAGTTGCTTGACACTGTCAAAGTAGATGGCTTCCTTAAAGTTGAAATTCAACAAACTAGTCAGATAACGGCAGCCAACTAATCTATGGCTTCCTGTTAGTTTCTCTGCACCTGATAATTCCCACAGTTCATCTAACTTGTCAAGAAGAAATTGCTAGAATTTGCTAGTGAAGCTGGATATGAATTCTATTAATTTATAAATATATATATATATATATATATATATATAATCGTGAAGTGTTGATTTCTGATGATCATTGTTCAAAATATAAGAAGTATAAAATAAAATTTTCATATTTTTACGGAAAATTTCACAAGGCAAGAAAAGAAACAACAATGAATCAAATTACAAACATGTTCTACAACTATTCAGGTTGGAAAAATGTATCTAAAGCCTATGCTGAAAGTACAAAAAATATTGAACCCAACAGCAGTTTTCTATGAAAGAAACACAACTAAAAGCTTCCAAATTCTTACACGTTACAGGTGTTGTTTATCATGTCTTATTTTGCTGCAGCAACGAGACACTTTAAAAGAGATGAAAGAGAATTGAATAAATCATCTTGAATCAAAGCTTTCAACGGTAACGATATACAGCATAGCAAGTAGGTCGTGGCCGAGGGATGCAGAGAGCCATGAGCACTAGAGCTATGACTAAAACTAAGACAAATCCAGTGAGATCTAAGCCACCATCATCTGATTCCATACAACATTTCCCCATTGTAAATGCTGCTGCCTCTGCTCTTCTTGCTTTCTTTGTTTCTTTGTTAACAATGCGATGAAATGAGACATATATACAAGGAAATAGAAGGAAATTTCTCTCCTCTGGCTCCAAGTCAACTTGACTTCGAATAGTTTATTCGTCGACTCCGTTTCGTGGAACATATCAAACAGATTTAATTTGACTATGGTACTATTGATAATGCAAATTTGCCCTCTTGGATTAAATAATTGTTACTTAATAGACAATTCTAGTATTAGTGTCAAGTCTATCAAACACATACAAAACAAAAAAAATTATCATGATATAATTTGTGTCGATCTTTCAAACATAATTTTTTATTAAAATTTTAAATTGTGTCATTTTAAATTTTTATTATTATTTTTATATTATATCATCATATTTAAAATTATAGATCTTTTATTTTGGTTTGTAAATCTTATTTTAGTGCTGTATTCAATTGTAGACAGCATGGAGCTTAGACAAGTTAAATTTTGAGATCTCAGTTGAAAAGACTTTTGGAAATGGGTGCTCTTTTTCCTAACTACTGAACCTAAAACCAGAGGTTAGTTGCCAACCTCGCCAACCTCTTAGAATCCATTAATGATTGAAACAGACAGCAACACATTAATTCAAAGAGATAATCCTACCAAAAAGGCAAAGGAAAAAAAGGGTTTTCATTTTCTGCGGTAAAGAGAGAGATAAACCTGGAATCTAGACAAAAAAAAAAAAGATTTAAACCCTAATTTACATGTCCCTCACATATCTTCAGGTTAGGTACTAGCTTGATGACTAGCCAAAAAACCCCATCATCCATCAACCTTGATTGTGCCTTAGCATACATAATGAGTATTAATAATGCAAATGAGATGATAACACATTATTCTGCTACTGCTTGCTCCTCAAGGATAAAGGCAATGGCTGCAGTCTGCAGTTCATATGATGATTATAATTAGTTAGATTGAGATTTTCAACAGAACCTGAGCAACTGCTGTAAAGGATTTTGTAACAGCTAATGAAGAGGTTACTCTGGTCTGATTTTGTTGGTCATTGGTTGGACACAAACAAGGAAATGCACCTTCAAATAAATTTCATATTTATTCCACATAGGAATTAGGATCTTTAGAAGGGAGTAAGGCCATTGATAGCTTTACACATCAAACCTAAATCAAATCACTGAAAGGAATATTTAAAGTACAACCCAGCTGCAAATGTGCCAACGTATAAATTTGTAATATTAACACTCTAGTGTGAAATTCTGTGAATGTTTCAGACATGGTATATGAATAACTATTTGCTAGAATTTATTGGAAAAGGGGAAACATGGCACAAGACACCAACTAAATCAAGTTTCTCCTACCATGAATCCATCCAATCCCAGCAACGAAGATGAAGGTATGAGTTATTCGGAAACTCCAAGGAAGTGAGCAAAGCTAGGATATTTCGGCTCCCACCCTAATTCCTTACAAGTTTTTGTGTTGTTCAACTTCTTTCCCAAAGGATCACTAGTGCCTGCAATATAATCTATGCCAGTTAATGCAAGTTTTACATACGAAAGATACAATAACAACTAAACCAAGAACGTTTGCCAGTGATTAATAACCTATATGCTATATAAAGAGTAATGTAATAGTTGATCCGTAATCAATGGTATACTTTTTCTAAAGTGTAAATAAGAAGCTACCTGTAAAGGCCTCAAACTTTTTGTTGAATTTCCCACTTTTATCAACCAAGTTCATTACTTCCTGCCTGCAAGGAAAGTAACAGGCAAGAACTGAAGAAGTCAGCAAAATAAACAATTTTGATTGAGTAGCTGCTATCAAAATAGTTCATTATGAAAACTTTTTGGGATATTCTCAAGAGTTTAAATAAATAGTGTTGCAAGAAATATATTGAAACAAGTTGTCATCTGTCCTAATATAAAAGAAGACAACCTGGACAAAGGATGATTGTCACAACCCAAGAAAATCCGGCCACGAAGTTTCTTCTTCAGAATAGTGACGGAGAGGGAAGCTGCATCCTATTACCAAATATACAAAATGATATCAACACCGCTCAAAGTACCTAAATGACACTGCAAATCTCAAAATAGAAATAGTCCCTGTCCATGAATAACAAGGAGTTGAAAATTTGCAAAACTACAAAACAGGACTGAACGTATCATTTCAATGCTTCATGGTAGTGAAATAAAGTTGAGGGAATGTGCACACGTAGAAAAATAGACCTGCTATTTATATAATGCGAGTTTAAATATTAAAAAGTGAATCACCTCATAGTGTATAAGATTCAGGATGTGATCTGGACGAACATCAACAGTCTCCTTCTGTAACCAATAGAAATGTGCACCTCTATCTATTTTGTATGAAAGGTTAGGGTTATCATGGACAAAATATTGATAACATCCACAAGTGCATGAAACATATTAACATATCTCTTCAGAATCCAAGTCTGAGAAAAGGATATATAAAGTCCAGCCAACCTAACAACACAACCACCAAAGTCCATCACCACTTTTTCAGCCTTGAGAAGGTTATCTGTCCTAGGGCTTCTCCCAAACGGCACATCTGGAGTGTCCTGTAAAGAATATTAGATCTCTATGACCTTACAAGTTAAAATACAGAAGGACAGGATATTAATGCATCCAAATTCATGAAAATAAGCTGGCATTATAAATTCAGAAGTGAGGATGTATATTCCATACTTATTCAGACAGGGAAAGCTTGCCTTCATGGAAAATTAGAAGAGACAAAAGAAAATGCTACCAGCAGAACAATGTGTTATGTTAGATGTAACACCTCATCACATGGTCCATTGTCATTGCAATCAAAGGGTGCAGAGCTCGATGTGAATAAGAAAGAACCTTCACCATTCCAGCTTAAAGCAGCCATCCTGCTCCATTCAAAGCCCAAACCAATAGCACAATTTCAGTTAGAAGAGATCAAATTTTAGCTACTAAGAATAAATCTAAAATTCCTCATTATCGTAAGCTTTACCAAAGATCCTCATAGCTCACATATGACTACAATATGGCTCGTCAGTGAAAAATATAGACGACAGAGACGTGACATTGGCAAAGAAAATTGTCTCTTGATTACCTAATATCACCAGGGTAATCTTGGGTTTTTGAAGGAGGAGCACAGAAAATCACATAAGGAAACTTCTGATCAGTTTTAGTCCCTTTCAAAAATGGATTAATCCCCATTGAGATTAACTCATCATGGTGATCCGTCGTCACGGTCTGCCCATAAATTTGACATCCTGGATGTTCCTGCTTTAACAACATAATAATATATAATAACTGCCCTTCTTCTAAACAAAAATTTAAAAGGCTAAAAAAACCCATCTAGCTTATCCTTATCATTAACCAAGAAAACCTTTGGAATGCAACCCATGAAACTACATTGAACGAAATTAAAGCTGGAATTTCCTCAAGAAAACTATAAGCAAAAAAATTAATTAATTAATTAATTAAATTAAAATAAGCAATCAAACAGTTAGTTTTACCTCCCTCCAGTTTTCAGCAACCAAGCGACCAAGAACACCTGGTCCCACAATTAGCAGATCATGTTGTCCCACCATTCCTGACGACGCAATTGCCTTTGCCTCCACAGCCTCATTTCTCGCACCTTAAAAAAATTCCCAGATTAAGAAAAAAAAAAGTCAACGTAAAATTAAAATAAGACAAAAATCAAACAGATAGAGAGAAAGGGAGAGACCCATTGTGGACGAAGCTGAGGCTTGAAGAGAAGCAGCCATTGGAGGAGAGAAGGTGAAGCTTTTGAAGATGGAAATTGGGTTCTTGCAAAAGGGTAGCGATGATGATGAAGATGAAGAGATTGAGTTTTTCGAGAGCTTTGTGAAACTAGAGAAGTGAACATAACTGACGCAAGAAATGGTTCCCATTAACTTTAAATTTTTATTAAAACAAATACAAATTAAAAGAAGATAAAAGAGTCTCTTTCCCTCTTTACTGTCGAATTTTGATGATTATTGAGTGAAATTTTTTAAGCCAAGTGGACTGTTTTAACTTGGAACAAGAGCTAAGAGGATTTTGTTCTTTCCCCGACCAATGATGTTATTACACGTAGTCCCTTGGGTAGTTAAATGGGATTATGTCAGCTTCTGATTGGCGGTTATGTTTTTTACGTCACGGAACAAATAGTACACTCTCCTCCGTCACTGCAGTAAACGATGTCGTTGCATCCGTAGTTAATTACTTTTTAGCCCTCCAGGCCAAACCGCACCAACCACTTTGACGTCCATTTATTTAAGTCCAATTTTTTAAAAAAATATTTTAAATGAATTTTAAATTGACGACTTCCAAAATGCATTATCACTTTAGGAAGGTTCGGTTTAGAAAATGCAAGAAAAAAAAATGAAATTTCCTATATGAAAATTAGTTAATTCTAATGATTCACCAATAATTTCTTTTTCGTCCATAAAAAAAGGTATATATTTTATAATATAAAAATATTAAACTCAGTTTAATCGGTATTCTTATTTTTTAACTTTTAACTTGAATTTATAATTTTTTATTAAAATTCAGAAAATTTTAAACTAATCATTTATTTAACATCACAACAATCTTTCCCATTAATTACTGTTGCCCTCTATGTATAATTAATGATTTGCATGTCTAATATTGTCATTTTAAATCACTTTGTCCCATTATTTTTCATTTTTTCCATAAAAGTAAATTTTTTTATAATAAAAAAGGTTAAATATAAAAATACCCCTATATATATTTTTTACCAATTTAATATTTTAAAAAATAAAATTTTTATTTTGATACTCAAATTATTATTTCGCAAAACATTTAGACGCTCCGGACTAATACTATTATTCACGTTACTTAAATTACATTAATATAGTATAAAATCGACAAGTGACATAAATGTTCATTTATCACTATATTATTTATTTTACATGTCATTTTTTTAAAAAAATTTTATTTAAAAATAAAAAATATATATTTAATTTTTTGTTTGGCATGATAATATCCGCAATAATAAATAAACATTTATAATATATAACATAATTTTATCGAATATTCGTATCACATTAGTTACATAACTTATAGTAATTATGTAAGTTATCAAAATATTTGATGAAAATAAAAGTTAAAATATCAAAATGATAATTTTATTTCTTTAAATATCAAATTAATAAAAAAATAAATATTACATGAATCATTTTACATATTAACTTATAAAATAATTTAAAATTTTACTAACAACAATTTTTTCTTGCCTTAACTGAATGTTTAATTGAAGAAATATAAAGCTTTTGTTTTCGTTTTTTTTTTTTCTATTGTTTTCTTCTAGAAATATATTAAAAAAGCAACAAAAAAAAAAATCGGGCCGTTGCATGTTAGGTAAACTTTTAATAAAGTGTCGCTGTTAGGAAAAAAAAAAAAAAAAGGCAATTCTTTCATTCATTGATTTTTAAAAAAATCGTGCGAAAATGTACTATTACGAGATTTTTATTAATTAAAAAAAATCTCATTATAATTATATCAATACGATACCATAAGTGTTCGATAATCTCAAATGTTGCTCTAATTATATTGTTATAGCCTCTAATGTTACATTTTACTACATAAATTACATTAATCTTATATGAACATTAGCTACTTAGCTTAAATATGAAAACATGAGTAACCACTATAGATTTAGCCATTAAACCATGGACAATATTACATTCACGTAAAAAATCATACGTACGTACGTACATATAAATATTGTAATGGTAATTTTTAAAAAATTAAAAAAAAATTATATGCACTCATCTAATAACCTAATTTCACGTAATCACATAATATATAAATTTTTAAAATTTTATTATTGCCCATAAAAATTTTAATACTTTTTATTTAAGTCAATATAATAAAAGTGAGTGCGTGAAATGGGTACGTATATGATCTTTTTATTAAGTTAAAAAAGCTGATGTGCAAAAAAAATCAATTATATATGCATTTGTATGTAAATAACTTTTCTTTTAAACTATATAATAAAATATAAAAATAAAAGGAAATTAGATTTGAATCAAAGGAATTATCTCTTAGTTAACATTTGTTTTGTTTCTATTGGACCTACTTCTAAAAATAAATTAACGTGTGAGAAAGTTTCTATACAAACATTCAACATATGCTAACCAACCTTAACAAACTTGTTCCAACATGTTTTGTACTTGTTATCCAAGTTCCAAATTTGTCTTGAAATAATTTTGATGATAAGGCACAACACCTAACCTACTATACTTATCCCTTTTTTAAAGTATATATGTCAAACTATATTATTAACATTTTTTATATTTGTGAATGACAAAATTTGAGCCCTAAATCATTAAAAATTGAAAATTTAATACTTTGCCAATAAATCAAATTATTATTATTATTATTATTATTATTAGAAAAACCATTAAATTTAAATACAAATTTCTCTTAACTTTTACACGTAAAGGATATAATAATTTTTTTTAATATTTGTAAAAGAGAGGATTCGAACCTAACTCTTTTAAAATAAAAAATATATATTAAATTAAATATTTATGTACATTAAGATTTAAGCAATTGATCTATAAATTATCTAAAAAAAAAGAATATACATATTTCAAGCCATGCCATGAGCAAATTGCAAACTATTTATAATGAATCATAGAGACAACATAATGTTGTTGGCAAAATTGGTGTATTTTTATATTGGCCTCTTTAAATTATAGTGAAGATTTGTCTAAATCTTAGCTATAGTTTTTCATGATAGTCCAAATCTCAAAATCTTTGTATTCTACTTTTCTTCTCAAGCAATAATTTACATGAAAAAAGCACAATAATATAAAATAATAATTAAACATGATATATATGATACACATTAGGATACATTAGTATACTTGTACCATTTTTTTTTGTTTAATACTTGAGGTTATATATATTTTTCATTATGCATGCTTATATGTTGATTATGAACTGTTAGAAATGCTAATTGCTTCAACAATTTTATTTTCTTGTCGAGAACATTTAATTACTCCATATCTATGAGTTCTAAATCTTAATCTTCAAAATTTTCAAAATTTTTAGTACATTTTAATTAAAATATTTGTATTATTATTGAGTCAATTATTTTTTTTTTTGCAAGAAAAATTCGAAGGTAGATAAGCTGCTCAGTCTTTCAGATCAGGGTAAGATGTGTACTACCTAATAACTTAAGACAGATGACTGCAGGTCATATATTCGATATGACTCCAACAAGTAGCTACCGACGAGATCAAACCCAAAATCTCTTCATCGAGAAAAACGAGCATAACCGATTAAATCAACCACTTATTGATTTTATTGAGTCAAATATTGTATTATGATTTGAGAACAATGTGTTAAGGTTATTTCACTGATAAGGGATTTGTTATTACAGATTATGTTCATGAGATCGAATATATATATGAGAAGTTTTGTTGCAATAAGGTGTTAGGTATGCAGTCAATCGAGTGAAGTTAATTTGAATATTAACCATCTTGTGTGAATTAGATGAAGTTGGGACTGATTCAATCATGAGTAGTATGAATTTCTTAAAGGTTAATATTTCGATAAAATTTATGTCATAATAAAGATTTTTTAGATATTGACTAAAATTTTAATAGGAATCAGTTTAGATTATACTAAAATTTTATTAATTAGAGAATTACTTGATAATTAAATTTATTTAAAAATAAACATTTTTCATGAGTAAGAATTCTTAATAAACATGAATGATTGGCAATCAAGTAATTGGATTATATAAACATAGGTTGAGATTTAACCTTACGAGAGAGAATTATAATCACTATGTAATCTCTATGTGAAACATAGGTTATAGGATGTGAAAAATAGTTAGAAAAAATAATAGATTGTATAAGATAAAAGATATTTTATAAGTTAAATATTAAGGAAGATGAAAATTACGATTATTTCGGGATTGAAGATTAGTATTTATTTTTAATATTTTATGCTTTTTGTAATTTTTATGTTTATAGTAGATTATTTTCTTTCATCCTATATGTAAGTAATGGGAATTAAATTACGTTAAATATTATATTTTATATATTTACTTTATTTTTTGTTGATCTCATTAAATATATTTTTGTTTAAAAAAATCGCAACAGTCTTTTTGTTATTTGAAATTTATTACAATTTTTTTCTTATAAGATTGTTAATTAATTTTATTAGGTGGATTCATTATTTTTGCGTGAAATCTAATTAATTATATGAATTTTTGGTAAAAAATTTTGGTAAAAAAAGTTATTTTATTTTAAGTTATATTAATAGAAAATTTATATTAAATCTATAAATCATCAAAAAATATATTAATAATAAAAATCAAATTTAAATTTTATAGATAAAATATGTAATTTTTACCAAATCAATCAATCTCGTTAATCTAATGAAGCTATGGATGATGAGAGGTTAAAAAATTAAAAAAAAATGAAAAACATGGGGTATATTCTAATTTAGACAAAAGTTTTCTTTATAAATCAAAGTGTCAGATTTTCATTGGCCAATTGGTTTGCTCTCCAGTTAAGCGGGGGCCACGAACTCTACCTGAATCAGGAACAAAATCAAGAGAATACCACTCTCCTCTGGAACCCAACTCCATCTCCGGCACCCTCTCTCCCAATCATGTTCTCCCACGCCACAAACCCAAAACCCCCGCAGGATAAATCACAATCATTCCGTCCTAACGTGGCATGTTCTCATTGGTTTTATTTCTCCGTAACACCGAATCTCCCGCAGTTAATTAAACCCCCAAAAAACGAAAAAAATTCCTCCTTCTGAAAGAGAGTCAAAAGACTCAAAGACCAGAGCAAGAAAAAATTAAAAAAAAAAGCAAAAAAAGAGACTGAAAAGTAGAATCGGATCCAAAATCTTTCTTTAAAACCCAAAATAAAAATCTTCAATCTCTCGAAATTCTTCAAATAAATAAAAAAAAAGTAGTTGAATTTTACTGTTTTCAGCTTTTTGTAGCAGAAAATTTTT